CTGTTCTTTACCGGGCATATACACCGTGCGGCAGACAGACAGACAAAAATATAATACAAGGAAGGCCTGGCCAGAAAAAATATGCAAAACGTGGGGTTGCATATTGGCACTAGCTAAATAGAATTTGTTTATGTGCATGTCTGTGTGTGCGGGTAAATGGTGCGACATTTCTGCTTCTGCTGCACAACGGCTGACTGGCTGGCTAATGCACACAAAATATATTGGTCTGTATAGTAAAAACATTTGTCCCTGTACACAATGGCACATGAGTAAACACACCAATACAACTACACACACACACCTATTGGCTGGCTAAGTAAGCTTTGCGTATAGCGTATGTTACGTTGTTACGCTAAGTGCAAGAAGACCAAAGCTTAGTAGAATAATTTCAAAGCTGAAGGCAAGAGGAGGGGTATTTTCGTTGATTTTTTTTTTCCTTCACGTCTTATGTTTGCACATGCAAATGTTTTTGTTGTTGTTGCTGTCGTTGTAGTATATTACAACTCTAAGTTGTTTTTGTTGTTGTGTTGTTAGTGTTCATTGTTGTGTCATCAAAACATAATCATATTTCAAATGCATGCCTAGCTTGTATGGAGATTCTCAGTGGGCTAACAGGCCGAGGAGCGCATATAACTGGCCTGGATGGATAGATGGATGGCTGGCTAGATGGATGAATTGCTGGTAAAATGACTGACTAACTGGCTGAACTGACTGACTAACTAGCTGCTTCAACTGGCTGCATGCCTAGCTAGGTTTGCCTGGTGTTTTTTTTTTTTGTTATTGAATTTAACAAGTCACTTACTTACTCACATGGCCGCGGTACACACACCGACATATCCATGCCTGCATTACAATTATGTTAGAACTTTTTCCCCCTACCTCCTCTCCCTTACATAGTACATACATAATGGAAATTGTGGACAACAACGAAAAAAAAATATTATTCGGAACTTACACAGTACAGGTTTTGAATTTGTAATTATGTAAACATATTTTTTTATAAAAAAAAACTTATAATTAAATCGAAATTGTTCTGATTTTTTTGTAATTCTCTATTTTATTGTAATTTATTTAGAAATAATCATCAATATGGAATAAAAAATGCACAGGACTACATTTTTTTCGTATCAGCCATGAGCACTGGAAATGAAGATATGAAGCTTGCAGATTTGGACATTGATGTGTGGCCAGTTAACTCTAATATGTCCCCAGATTGTGGTGGCGAAATGACAGGGTGAGTAAGTCTTCTATGAAAATTAAAAAAATTTAAACTATTAATATAATTTTGTATTTATTTCCAGGTATTGAACCATACAACAAAAGATATGGAGCTCCGGAGGTCTAATATTGATGTATTTGCATTTAAAGTTAAAATATGGAACTGATTTGTAGCTTAATTTTCTGGCAAAAAGTCCCAAAGCTTAAATGGAAGTAGACCAATGAGACTGAGAATTTCTCCAAAATAAATTTAAAATTTATTTCCAGTTATTGAACCCTGCAACCAAAGCTATGGAGCCCCGAAGAGGTGGAGAAGGTGTAAGCTTGGCGTATTTGCATTTAAAGTTAAACATTTGGAACTGCTTTAAACATTTGGAACTGTTATTGCTGGCAAAAGTCCTAAAGCTTAAATGGAAGTACACCAATGAGGCTGAAATGTTTTCCAAATTAAATTTTATATGACAGGGTGTGTAAGTCTTATTTTAAAAATTTAAGAAATTCAGAATATTAATATCGTACTGTTTTTTTTCAGGTATTGAACCCTGCAACCATAACTATGAAGCCCCGAAGATGTGAAAAAGGCGTAAACTTGACGTATTTGCATTTAAAGTTAAAAAAATTAAACCATTTAAAATATTTAAGAAGGTGTAAGGCACCTTAGTGACTCTATTTTCTCGCAAAAAGCCACGATACTTAAATGGAAGTAGATCAAAGGCGCTGAGAATCGCCGCTTATTTAAATCAAAAGATGTCCTAATGAAAAATAAAATCAACGAACAAAATCTGAAAAATATATCGAGGATATAAAAAGATAAATAAAATTATGAAAAACTGTCGTGAATGACTGTCAAAATCCCCTGAAGCTTAGATGGACGTAGAGCAGAGATCCGGAGAAATCAGCCACCAGAAAGAAAATGTGCTTCATAAAAATAAAATGGTTTGAAAAATTTCTCAGAGGTTCTCCTAGAATTAAAAGGTCTGCCGAATAAAACTAAAACCACTAAAAAATTTCAAAACTTTTAATTAATGATTTATTCTATTTATTTAAGAATTCCCAAATAGATTTGAAGATTCGAAACCATGAGAAGTCCTATCGCAATTCTATTTTGACGTATTTGCATTTAAAGTTATACAATTTTGATATTAATTAGGAAGAAGAGCCGAGGTACTGGCGTCCTTGATGTGCACTTCAATTAAAATATGTGCTGAATGAAAATAAAGTCTTAACGTTTCTCGGAAGTTCTCCGTGAAAGGTGAGCCGAATTAAAAACAAAAGATAATTAAAAATCTTTAAAATGAAGATAAATAATATATTTTCTTTTTATTTCAGGATTCTTAAATTTTATTTAAAGATTCGAGCTCATCAGAACTCGAACGTATTTGCATTTAAAGTTATAAAATTTTGAAGTTAATTTGAAAGAATAACAAGGGTGCTAGAAAATCATAGGAACCTTCTTAACAGCAAAGAGGAACTCATTTCATAAGGTAATTTCAATCGAAAATTGATTCAAAGCTTCTGTTCCATTTCCATTTATTTCCAGGAAAACCTAAACGGATTGGATCTAAGCGGAGCATTTGATGTGTGATTATTGTTCTGACGTATTTGCATTTAAAGTTATAATATCATATGAAACACGAAGGACCTAAAAACTCCACGCAGAATATCCGCACAGCAAAGAGGAAAATACTCAATAAGCTAATTTTCGCCCATTCGAAAAGTTTCAAATCTCCAAAAACACCTATATTGGGCGGATTGAAGTTCAGTGAGACACTAGAAGTAAAATGGCACAGTCCTGACGTATTTGCATTTAAAGTTAAAAAATCTGATTCGCAAAAATACAATACAATTTGGTGTATTAGAGTCCAGCGGGCCATTAGAAGTGAGCTGAAAACGTAGTCTTGGCGTATTTGCATTTAAAGTTTATAAATCTATAAAAATGTATTCAAAAAAATATCGTTAAAATAAGTCAAAGTTCCATGGGACTAGGTTACATCCGGAAAAAAATGGTCATTGTTAGATTAAAAAAAAATCTGAGCTCTCAATCTATAATCCATAACAAAATTACTTCAGATTCGGTCACTCTTTAGTTCTGGCGCCCAATGTAAAATTATTTTCATTCTGCTTCCCATGAAAAAATTTATAAATTATGTTATTTTTCGTCTTTAACTCATTGCAACTTTCAACAAAAATGTTCCCAACAAAGAATATTCTTTGACGAAGTATTCGACCTTCTTTGGCAATTTTTTTTTCTCTAGAAGATTCCTTAAACGAATTGTTTCAAAATTATTGTGAATAAAAAAAAATGGTATGTTATTTCTGAACTATAGTTTTTTTTTTCTTTCATTTCATTATTCATTGCTAGTTTTCAATATTCTTTGCGAACAAAGAAAGTTCACACGGAAGTTTTTTAAAATATTTTTATAGTATTCGGTCTTTCTTTGGCAGTTTTTTTAATGACCTGATTTTTTAATAAAGAAATGTCACATGTGTAGACGTAATTCTGGCGCCCAACATAAAGTCTCTCTATATTATATTTTGACATATTTGCATTTAAAGTTAAACGAAATTCGATTTAAAATCCGAATCTAAAGCCAAAATATTGTATAATCCGAATGAGGTTTCATATTAATTATGAGAAATTAAATCCATTGTCAAAAAATGTTATTCTGCCCATATATATGAAAGAAAAAAAAATAAATATATGAACGGAAAAAAATGAGAACTGCAGAAAGATGCATTATGGCGCCCAACGTAAAGTCTGTCTTTATTATATACAATTAAATCTTTTGACAGCATATTATTCTGCCTATATATAAGACAAAAAAAAAATAAACCGATAAAATTGAGAACTGAAGAAGGTTCCGTATGGCGGCCAACGCAAAGTTTTTCTATATTATATTTTGACATATTTCCATTTAAAGTTATATGAAATCAAAAGTCCGAAAAAGTTTCCGAAATTCAAAAGAAATTTGATAATGGCGCCCAACGTCACATGTTTTTATGTTATATATTTTGACGTATTTGCATTTAAAGTTAAAAAATTGAGGTTATGTTAGTTCGGGTAGGGTAAACCACATGTTTTTTCTATTCGCTATCAATGGGGAAAAATTCCCAGCAATAGCGTATATAGATTTCCTGTGGCGCCTCTAAATAAATAATAGACAATTGTATAGCAATAAAATAAAAAATAAACTTAGTTTCTATCATAAAACTAGACATAACCCAAGTTTTCTGGAAAATGTTTTGCCCTGCAGAACAGATTTCGGAGAAAAAAATATTCCTAGGAGTGGTAGATTTTTTTTTGGTTTTTGTTTAAACGAGGTAGGTCTTCTCTTGCTATGTCTGAAGTAAAATTGTTACAAATATTTATTAATTAAATATCTTGAAGAAATGAGTGAGGGGAGGGTTTTCAAAAAAATTGAAACTCCGACGGTAAAGTGTGAGTTTTGAGGTTATGAAGAAATTATTTTATTTATTTTTTTTTTGTAATTGTTTCGTCTATTTTCCTGCTGACCTGTGTAATATTTTTTTTTTTTTTTTATTCTCTGCCTTTATTGAATAACAAATAATAATAACAAAACAATGCAAAAAAATAGTCTGGCAAAAGAAAAAAATAAAACCAAACAAAAAAAATAAAACCGACCGACTACAGCAAAACTTATATGCCTGAGGTTCTGTCAGGTCTTTCGCTTTACCATATTATTTACCTTAGAGCAAAGGTATAAGAACACAAAAAAAAATTGTAAAATAAAAAAAAGTTTTGTTGTTGTTTTTGTACTTACATCGTATACTTCTGGCCTCATTGTATCCCCCCGATTTAAGGGTTGAGTTTATAATCCCACATAGATTTCCAAGTACAAAGCACAAGATAAATAACACATTGGATTTGTTTTTCGATGTTGTTGTTGCTGTATTTTCTTCTTATATTTTGTTGTTGTTTTTTTTTTAATTTTTTGCACAACAAAGAGGAAAAACTCTGTTTCGATTTTTTTTTTCTTTTTGATTTCCTCGAAAGACCAACAACTAATCCCTTTTGGCGTCGCTGTGAAATTCACGTAAAAATTATCCACATGGAAAACGAAATAATATATCCAAAAAAAGAAATATCTGGCCGGCAGATTCCGTATGTCCGTGAAACTTTCGTGTCGTAAAGAACCGATTGAGTGACTGACTGGCTGACTGACCACCTTACCGGAGTGGTGTTCAATGTCTCCTCTTGGTATTTCGTTTGTTCGGCTGCACTAAAGATGCCGATGATGATGGTGATCCACAACCTATATGGGACCCATCAACTGTAACAACACACGTTCTCTCTTCGAGGTTCTCAAACACTCACACTATTCTTTTTCTCTCTCTCTCTTTTTTCTTGCAACTTGTGATTATTTTTTACGTTTTGGGTTTTACGGTCTTAAAGGAAGTTGTAGCTGTATTACGGTTATAGGTTGCAGTTGCAAGACCACGATATCGAAAATCAAAAAAAAACTTTTAAAGTTTAAATTCAATTTTTTTTTAAATATTTTTTTTCAAACTCGTTTTTTTAAATTTCTTTGGATTTCAAAATTTTTTGGATTTTTTTATTTTCAATACATGTGTTTCACTTCAAGCATTCCAAATAAATATTTGTTCACTTAATTAAATATGTAATTCCATACTTTTTTTATTTGTTTTCACTTTGCATTCGGTTTTTTTTCTTTAACTCAAAAAAAGAAAAAATATTTTTTTTGAGGTTAGGTTAGGAAATTTTCGAATTCATCAATAAATTTTATGAACATTTTTTATTCCATTTATTTTCACAATTTTCCAATGATTTTTAAAACAAAATCATTTCAATTTTCTTTTTTGATTTTCAAAATTTACACAATTTTTTTTTTATTCAATTTTATTTTAAAACAATTTTTTTCGTTTCTTGCTTATTCTTGTCACAATTCAATTAAATTTTTCTCACATTAATAATTTCTGTTTATTTATTTTTTTTTTTTATTTTCAAAATTTAATTCTTTTTTATCTTGCTTCTTTTATTTCATTTCATTTTTTATCAAATGTAAAACATTTTCATCATGTTTTTTCTTGTTTCTCTCTCTCTTTGTCTGGCGTCTAAAACGTTCTTAACGCGACGAATGTGTCTAGTAAACTGAACAACCGAAATCCGTTGTTCGTAAACCAACCACCTAACTGTCTTCGTCTGTTTGATTTCATCGTCGTTGTCGTGGTTGTATTCTTGTTGTTGTTGTTTTTGCTGTTGTTTACTACCAAACAAACGATGGAGAAGAAGCAACAACGAACGAACGAACGAACCAACCAACCAACTAGCCAGCCATCCATCCAACGAACAATGAATGGCCGGCCAAACATACAAGTCGGCCATACACTCAAACACTCGTAGAGATGGCAATGATACACAAACAAGCATGCCAAGCAAAGCAGGCACACACGTACACGCACACACACACACTGCAATGCAGAGGCGACACAAAATGACTTGAACATTCTGGGAGATACAGTGGCGCCCAAATGGCATCATTTCTTTTGGGAAAATTTACAATTTTTTTGAATTCAGAAACCCGTGAAGGATTTGATAAAAAAAAATATTTTTCAAAAAGTACTGGTCTAGGAGACCTTGAAAAAATATTTTTTAAAAAATCAGGGCCTAATAAATTGAAAGAAAAAAAATTTAAAAAAATTTTGAATTAAGAAAAATCATAGCCTAAGACCCATGAAAAAGAGATCTTAAAAGTGGCGCCCAAGTTAGCATCATTTCTTTTTGGGAAATTTATTTTTTTTAATTCAGATACCCGTGAAGGCTTGGTAAAAAAATATCTTTCAAAAAGTACTGGTCTAGGAGACCTTGAAAAAATATTTTTTAAAAAATCAGGGCCTAATAAATTGAAAGAAAAAAAATTAAAAAAGGAAAACTTCAGGTCTAAGAGGCCTTGAATTTAGAAAAATCATAGCCTAAGACCCATGAAAAAGTGATATTAAAAAAATCAAAGCCTAATACCCTTTATTCATTTTTTTTTAAATCCGCGCCAAAAAATCTTTGAAATCAATTTCAATCAATTTCTTAAAAGACGCTTTGAAAAAAAATTAATAAAAAGGTATTAGAAATTTATAAAATCAAAGCCTAAGATCCATGAAAAATATTTCTTTTATAAAATCCACGTCCCAAGGGCTTCAATTTTTTTTTTAAATTCACACCTAAGAGGCTTAAAAAAATTAAAAAGGGGCCTTGAACAAAATTAAAAAGTCTAAGCCTAAGACCCAAACGCTATGAAAAAATATCTTGCAAAAAAACAAAGCCTAAGACCCTTGAAATAAATGCAATTTTTTTTATAAAATCCAAGGGCTTTGAAAAACATCGATTTAGAGAAAATGCCACTTAGGTGTGGCATTTTCTCCAAAAAAATAAAAAAAAATCTACGCCTAAGAGGGCTTGAAAAAAAAATCTTCACAAAATCTGTACATAAGGTCTTAAAAAATGTTAAATATCATAGCCTAAAAGGTCCTGAAAAAAATATATATTTTTTAAAAAAAATTCAAGCATAAGAAGCCTTGTCAAACACACATTTTACTTATGGCGCCCAACGTAAAACGTAAAAAAAATAAATTCAAAAAAAAAAATTTATACATAAGTCCTCAAAAAATGTTTAAAATCATAGCCTAAGAGGTCCTGAAAATAAAATATTTTTTTTTTTTTAAAAATTCAAGCATAAGAAGCCTTGCCAAACACACATTTTACTTATGGCGCCCAACGTAAAACGTAAAAAAAATAAATTCAAAAAAAATGTATACATACAGGTCCTGAAAAAAAAAATTTTTTTTTTTAAATTCAAGCATAAGAAGCCTTGTCAAACACACATTTTCATTATGGCGCCCAACGTAAAACGTAAATAATGGAATTTTTTTTCTTGTATAAGGTCTTAAAAATAAATTTAAAAAACCTAGCCTAAAATGTCATGAAAAAAAATTATTTAAAAAAAATTCAAGCATAAGAAGCCTTGTCAAACACACATTTTCATTATGGCGCACAACGTAGAAACGTAAATAATGGAGATTTATTATTTATTAAATTAAAAATGCCGGCCTAAGAGACCTTGAAAATAAATAATTGAAACAAATCCGCACCTAAAAGGAATTACCAAAAATAATAATTAAACAAAGAACATTGTCATTATGGCGCCCAACGTAAAATCACTTTATTATATCAAGGCATATTTGCATTTAAAGTTATGGGACCTTTACAGAAAAATATTGATAGGAACAATTCACGCTAAAGAGACTTAGATAGAAAAGTAAAGGGTGATTTTTTAGCTTCTAAATTAAAAAAAAACACACCTATCCTAAAAGTTTCCGAAAATATATATTTAAAAAATCCACGCTTGACTTTTAAATTAAAAAACAAACTGATAAGAGGCCCTGAACAAATAAGTCAACAAAATCCGCGCTTAAAGCCTTGCTAAAAATATAAATTAAAAAAAACATTGTCATTATGGTGCCCAACGTAAAAAGTAAATGAGGAAGAATTTTTAGCTTACAAATTAAAAAAAAAAAACAGGACTAAGAGGCATTGAACAATAATAGTTAAAAAAAAAATCCCCACCTAATAATTATAAAAAATGAACATTATCATTATGGCGCCCAACGTAAAATCGTTAAATTATACCTTGGCATATATATATATTGTCATTTAAATAATTTGACTTTTACAAAAAATTAAAGTCAATTTACATAAATCACGCCTATGGGATCTCAGTAAACAAATAATAACAAAATATTAAAAAATTAAATCATTTTTTCTTGCAAAACTATAAATTTCATAGATGGCGCCCAACGAAAATTCTTCCTTTTCATATTTTGGTTATAAGAAATGTAAAGTTATAAGAAATTTGAAGTAAAAAATATTGTATACGCTTTGAAAACTTTAAAGAAAAAAATATGCACACTTATGGGATCTACCTGCAAAATTAGGGTCCAAATTAAGATCAATTCAATAAATGGCGCCCAACGTAAAATCTTCCTTTTTGTATTATATTTTGGGGTATTTGCATTTAAAGTTATAAGAAATTAACAAAAAAATAAAATATTGCGCAGACTAAATTATTTACTTAGATACAGAAAAGTTTGTTTGAAAAAAAATCCACTCCGCTTAGAAACACATCGAAATATCCATCGGATTCACCCTTCATGAAAACGAAAAAACAAAATTCTATATCAATTTCGCCATGTCCGTCGGTTTGTTGTAATTGCAATAGAGCTTCGACATTTTTCACATACATTAGTACTACCAGTAGAATCTTTGGTATTGAAAATGGGATATATCGGTCCACGTTTTAAGTACCTCTCATATATTGGAAACGCCATGTTTTTGGTATTCGTGGATTTTTGGCACGTTTTTTCAATCGAATTGACTATATTGGGGATTTTAAGTTCTCTTTGGGTAGAAAATCTTCCTACCAAAAATGATCGACATCGGTCCACATTTTTGCATAGCCTCCATATAGGGCTACCCTCCATTATTCGGTATTTTGGGAATTTTTGACACGTTTTCCAAGCATATTGGCCGTAATTTGGTACTTTAGGTTGATTTTCATAGGGTAGCAAATGTTCACACAAAAATTATCAATATCGATTCGAATTTCAGTATAGACCCCATTTAGCGGAATCGTCAATATTATGTATTTTGGGAATTTTGGGAACATTTTCCAACCGAATCGGTTCTAATTTAATATATAGGATTCTCCTTGGGTACGAAATCTTCCTACTAAAAATTAGCAATTTTGGTCCGATTTTCAGGGTAGCTCTCATATAACGGAATCCCTAAATTTCGGCATTTTGGGAATATTTGCCACGTTTTGCAACCAAATTCGCTGTAATTCGGTATTATGGGTTCTCATGGAGTAGCAAATGTTCCCACAAAATGTTGTCAGT